TCTCACACACACACACACACGTTCTGCTGCATTTCTCGGCGTTTATTGAGCTTTGTTGTTTAGTGGGAGCAGTGCGTGTGTGGAGGCTTGTGATGAATTAAGAGACAGGCCCTTCAACTGTCAGTCATATTATGATAAAAACACAAGCACATCTGCGGCCTTTTTTTGCAAGCACATCTGCGGCTCTTTGCAAGCACATCTGCGGCTCTTTGCAAGCACATCTGCGGCTCTTTGCAAGCACATCTGCGGCTCTTTGCAACTACATCTGTGGCTCTTTGCAAGCACATCTGCAGCCCTTTGCAAGCACACCTGTGGCCCGCACAAATGATGCTGTAATTTGGTCAGTTAACGCTCAAAATTGCAGTTTTTATAATTGAAACCTTTTAATAGATTGATCAACACTTGTCATTTCTGATCAGAGTGGGAACTGCACAAACATTTCAGCCAGACATAGCAAAAATAGTCATTAAAAAATGGTGTCAAGCCTTAGGACAAAACATTAAAAATTATTGAATAGTCGTAAATAAATGTTCATTCTGAACTGTTGTAATTTTTGTACAATGTATTTGTTGCTGTTGCATAGAAGTCTATGTTGCCGTTTAAAATTTAGTTTTTTCTTTTGTTAAACTTCTACATTACATTGCAGTCATGAATGTGGCTAACCACTAAACCATTTGTATGCACATTGCATGTTTCTATGTTTAAGTAATACAAATATTCTGCAACAATTGTTATTAAATGACTTCAATCAGTTGTGGTGTGTGGCCCTCATAACAACACAACTGTGGCCCTCATGACAACACAACTGTGGCCCTCATAACAACACAACTGTGGCCCTCATGACAACACAACTGTGGCCCTCATGACAACACAACTGTGGCCCTCATGACAACACAACTGTGGCCCTCATAACAACACAAATGTGGCCCTCATGACAACACAACTGTGGCCCTCATGACAACACAACTGTGGCCCTCATAACAACACAAATGTGGCCCTCATGACAACACAACTGTGGCCCATATGGCAACACAACTGTGGCCCTCATAACAATCCAACTGTGGCCCTCATGACAACACAACTGTGGCCCATATGGCAATACAACTGTGGCCCTCATAACAACACAACTGTGGCCCATATGGCAACACAACTGTGGCCCATATGGCAATACAACTGTGGCCCTCATGACAACACAAATGTGGCCCTCATAACAACACAACTGTGGCCCTCATAACAACACAAATGTGGCCCTCATGACAACACAAATGTGGCCCTCATGACAACACAACTGTGGCCTATATGGTCATCGGGAGTCCTCAATTTAACATGCTGTGACTGTAGAGTTCCATCTCTCCATTATAACACGTGTATAGATCTCCCTGCCCACACGTATTGTGTCTCAACAATGCCACTTCTGGCATCAACCGACTCTCTAATCCTCAGCCAACACACAGAATAACTATGCGACGTTCAAGCAACGTTATTACGTTATTATGACGAATATAAATAATGAAAACGTCTACATAACGCCGCGTTAACATTGCTGAGAGGTTGAGTCTGGACGAAATATAAGCACTAGACGCCACGTGAGGTGAATGGTGGTTAAAAAGTGTTCCGAGTGAAGGACTAAGTCTGCAGGATAATTTACGGCTTCACTTTGCTGCTTGAGTGTGACTGTCTGCTTGGCAGCAGTCCGCGGGTACTTATGTGTTTATGTCTGGGTTTTGTCGGAAGGAAAATAGTTTTAGGACAGGGAAGGAAGGGAGGATGATGGTAGACATTGCATGTTTTTTTATTTAATTGGGCTATTAGACCTCCCTAGGTCTGGCCGTCAACGACTGCTTCCTACCTGGTCATCGCGACCACTCTACCTGTCATGATTCTGTAAATCTTTCATCGGTCGGTTTTGCTTCTTCACGTCATCTTAGGCCCGAATCGAGCGAGGGGATAGCCCATATATGGGTGGCACAGTATTAAGAGAATAGGTCTCTTAATACTTTCATTTTGCTGCAAGAATGGGCATAAAATGATGACATTACCGTTCACAACTACGAGGTGAGCAGGACGCTGGTGGAGTGGTAGCTTAACCATGTCGTAGCCGAGGACGACAAATCGTAGCACTGGTAATTCATCAGGAGTTCACTTTCTGACACGAATATCACAATATTTTAATTAGTTTTATTCCTCGGAATGCGTGGTGCAGTTTACGAGCTTGGAGCAAGAGAAGGTTTATGCGGAAGAGGAAGGCAGGTGTGTGTGTGTGTGTGTGTGTGTGTGTGTGTGTGTGTGTGTGTGTGTGTGTGTGTGTGTGTGTGTGTGTGTGTGTGTGTGTGTGTGTGTTTCCCCACGTGGACGATTAAGACAGTCTGGCTTATGCCAGAACCATTCAGGTGGTGGAAGTCCCAGACGGACTCCCTTGCCAGCTCCTGAGTCAGCCATGCGCGGCCACACCTCAAGATCTTGTCCCAGATGAGATGCTGTGTGTGTGCACCGCTGACACCACCTGAAAGATAAAACAAAACAGTTGCTGAAGCAGCAAAAGGCTCAGAGGGAACGCATATAATAGTCAAGTGTTCCAGAGCCAGCGTGCCTGAGAGCACGAGGCAGGAGTTAGTGAGAGTGAAATGCATGGTAATGTTCTATCTCCCCAAGCCAGAAGGTAACACAAGGCGGAAGAGAAAAGAAGGAGACGAGAGTATGATAAAAAAAAAAGTCTCCACCAAATTCAGGCTAGTGAGGTAAGCTGGGCTAGGGAGATTTAATAGTGAAAGAAATCAACCAGTAAAATATATCTTTAAGGACAAAAATCCAGTTATATATGTATGGAGGGAAATACCATATGAAGGATATGTTAATCAGGATACGTATGAAGAGGATGGAGAGGAAATTAAAAAATAGCAACGAATATAATTGTACACAGACAATGCACAATACCCAGCGACCCCGCTAGCAGCGGCGTACAACACAGCACAGGGTTGCCCAGCCTGGCAGTGCACCCATCTGAAGAAGGAGGAGTCCGGAGCCACTAGATCGACACAACCCGCCTTTCCCGAATTACGGTCGGACACGGAACAACCTGAACCAAAGCAGCTCAGTAGAGATGAGAAGCATTGAAGAGACGACGACGTTTCGGTCCGTCCTGGACCATTCTCAAGTCGATTATGAATGGTCCAGGACGGACCGAAACGTCGTCGTCCCTTCACCTTCTAGTGTGTGGTCTGGTCAACATACTTCAGCCACGTTATTGTGATTCATCGCCTGCAGAAGCATTGAATATACACTAATGCAAAATTAAAATGAACATGCTTCAGGAGAAGACGCCATCAAGGTCCCCATAATCGCATTTACTGCTCTAAACCACTAGCTATGCACTGCTAGGTAAGCACCAAAACCGCCCGTACCACCACGCTAAAAAATATATATATAAACAAGGTATCTTCTTCATAGCTTGAAAATGTGCCAGATCTCCACTCACAGTGCTACTGATATCTTACCTGAGATAAGATAGCATCTACATGAGATAGGTGCCTACAGGCAGTCACTGATAACATAGGCTACGCAACTGTTACACGCAACATGCACCGCTTTTGTTTGCCTTCTTGCTGAACGTCAAGTTGCTGTCGAGTGAACGATTAAACTAAAACAAATATATATATCCCTGGTAGTAAGTGCCATTTTCTGATTGCTTACGCCATCAAAGTATAGAAAACGGATGTTATTCCTCTCTAGCTTAGTCTTAGAGCTTCTCTTCCAGCAGTTGAGAGAAGACGTCTTGAAGGAACCTGGAAGAGGACGACTTGAGAAACAATATATCACAGCTTTGGGTAAGGCGGTTAGAGAGCCGGTCGGCCGAGCGGACAGCACACTGGACTTGTGATCCGGTGGTCCCGGGTTCGACCCCGGGCGCCGGCGAGAAACAATGGGCAGAGTTTCTTTCACCCTATGCCCCTATTACCTAGCAGTAAAATGGTACCTGGTTGTTAGTCAGCTGTCACGGGCTGCTTCCTGTGGGTAGAGGCCTGGTAGAGGACCGGGCCACCGGGACACTAAAGCCCCGAATTTATTTTAAGATAAGGCGTCAGCATCCTCCAATCCAACCTTCAAGATCTTTTCACTCGGCTGTCTGAGGTCAGTGTACAAGCAACGTTTGAGGGAAACAACGACGTTTTCAATACTTTGAGAGGCCCTAAGCCATTAGAGAATAGCACTTACTGCCCACGAGCAGAAATTGTGTTACAGTTCAAGGTTCTCATACGCTCTCATAAACTCCAAGACTCTCAACTGTCAATCAACTGGTGTACAGGTTCCTGAGCCTATTGGGCTCTATCATATCTACATTTGAAGCTGTGTATGGAGTCAGCCTCCACCACATCACTTCCTAATGCATTCCATTTGTCAACCACTCTGACATTGAAAATAATCTTTCTAATGTCTCTATGGCTCATTTGGGCACTCAATTTCCACCTGTGTCCCCTTCTTTGCTCCTGTGTATAGCTGGGAAGAAGCTCGAACAGAAACAAGGAAGAGGGTGCTCACTCAGAGGTTGATTATGAGCAAACAAAGAGAGTCCGAGTTTGAGTAAACAGTTTATTATGATTTAGCAAAAGGTTTAATTATGAGTAAGTAGGAAGCCTGTGAATGAATGAGTTGAATAATAGTTGAATACTTATTTTGAGTTTTCGCTCACAGAATGAGTATTTGGGTGCACAATAATCTGCCGATGATAGCCAGACCCATCCGATGATAACCAGACCCACCTAATGATAACCAGACCCACCTAATGATAGCCAGACCCACTCGATGATAGGCAGACCCACCCGATGATAGCCAGACCCATCCGATGATAGCCAGACCTACCCGATGATAGCCAGACCCACCCGATGATAGCCAGACCCACCCGATGATAGCCAGACCCACCCGATGATAGGCAGACCCACCCGATGATAGGCAGACCCACTCGATGATAACCAGACCCACCTAATGATAACCAGATCCACCCGATGATAACGAAGGCACCAATACATGAAGATTTTCCCGTCGATACTAACTCTTCTGTTGCCGAGGTTGCAAGGCAACAGAGCAGTGATTCCCCCCGAAGTTGCAAGGCAATAGAGCAGTGGTTGCTCTTGAAGTTGCAAGGCAATAGAGCAGTGGCTCCCAACAGGGTGGCCTTGGTAATTAAATATATTTTATATTTCTATTTAACCTTATGAGAAATGCATTTCGTTCTCCTGCTTTCATTAACATGCAGTTTTAACTGTGAACAACACTGCAGTGCTTGTGTCATGTGATTGTTTGTGTTCTTGTCCCAGTCATCGCTATTTACTGCCAGTTTTGGTTCCTCGATTTATTTTCTTGCTGGTGTCCACAGGGAAGAACATGGTTGTAGGGGTCCATATCAGAGAAGAACATGATTATAGCAACCTGCTCTCGCACAAGGCAGCACATATCTGACTTATTACTTATAGTCACTATTTCGCTTATAAATAAGTATATATGTGATATTCCAAGCTAGATGTTTTTTTCAAGGCACTAACTTTTTCTCTCAGTTTTATTAAACAATAGAGATTTTATACAAAATTTGACAATATCCTGAGTTATTTTACAATTTATTTGAATATTTTAGTTTTGTTTTATTATTTGTATAAAACTGTAATATCAATATAGGTATAGGTTCAGTACTAATTGTAATATCTTAACATACTAAGAAGGTTAGGTTAGGTTGTGGTTTTCTATTCAGCTTTTCAATGTAAAATCATATATTCACAATAAATTAGTATGTCACATATGCACTTATTCATAAGCAAGATATTGACTATAAGCAAGTGCGAGAACGGGTTGATTGTAGAGGTTCCACACGGGAGAAAGTGGCCGGAAAAGACAAATGCAACATCAGAAGTCGGGAGCCTGTGCAATAGACTTACATGTTGCTGAGAAGGGCAGCGACTCTGTCTTCCCCCCGCAGGGTGACCAACCACACACACACACACTCACCTGGAACAGGTTCACACCTCAGTCGGTGGTGAAGTTTCACACGCATTCTGTCCGGAACTATTTTTCCTTCTTCTGCCCACTCTTACTGGCCGAGTCAGTAATTACCTTTAACCTCTAAACATTTAGAGGCCATAATTCTCTGTGGTTTTTGGTCACCGCTTTGCACAATTCTTAAAATATTTGAGAATCGCAGTTATATATGTATATGTGTATATATATATATATATATATATATATATATATATATATATATATATATATATATATATATATATATATATATATATATTTTGTATATATATTATTTTAAAGTATATATGTATATATATATTAAAGGGCTCTATTATATTAGGGGCTTAAGTTAAAGTTTGATACCAGTTAGGTGCCTCTGGGATCCTTCCTTATTGTAGGTTATTCGTAGTGCAGTTAGTAGAGATAAGGGGTTTCCGCTTTTGTGGTTGTGAGTATACATTAAACCCCACATCTGCTGACCCCACTTTGTAGGAAGATTAATGGGTGGTAAGGGACTGTCATAGGCAGGTAGGGGTCGGCCCCGTTGCCCCCTTTAAATTAATTATATTCTGACATTAATTCAGTGTACTGAAATTTGGATAAATGGTTATAAATTCTTTTTACATTTTATTGTCATGCGGCATTTAGATAAAACACGAAATAATTATGGATGAATAAAGAAAATAATTTTTTTTAGGAACGCGTTAGTGCCAAATGCTCCCCAATTTTTTATTTAAGGATATTTTGTATGTGTTCCAAGAAGGTTTATCATTTAGATACTAACCAATTTAAAAGTTTTTATTGCCATATATTAACTCCTAGGCTAATGCAGTTACACTCATTTACTAAGCTTATACTTATTATCGCTTGCAGGCATTTTTACAAATGCTGTAAAAATGTTGTGATAAATGTATCCGTATAGTATGTAATGACGTTATCCAAGACCCATGACAAAATTCTGCTATCGTTTGTAATGCGATGAGGATATCGTGTGCTAAATGAGTATCGTCAAATCACAATTTGTTTTTCCGGCCAGTTTTATTTTATTTCTGCACGACATGCCATTGACAACGGATGAAGAGGAACGGATTGCCGGATACTTTTAATAATATTATCTTGCGATACATTTGTGTGGCATAAAGGTGTACATATTCGAAGCACATATATACATTACTCACAGTTTTTATCAATTATGTGTCTTTACTACTATACATTATGTATAGTAGTAAAGTAAAACCACGAATATAAAACCAACCTCAAATTGGTCACGTTAACCTTCTCAGCCTCACACTACGAGTCGACGAGCTGCGGACGTAGCGTTGATGCGCTTCTTCATTTTTCATTGAAAAATTAAACTAAGAAATATCTAGTTAACATCATGTCAAAAAGTTCTCTTGCATTTCCTCGTCCACAATATATATATATATATATATATATATATATATATATATATATATATATATATATATATATATATATATATATATATATATATATATCTCGCCAGCTATATTTACAAAGGTACTGCAGACTTGCTACCCAACCAGTCCTAATAGATAGTCGCATTTTCACGTATAATTTACGTGAGGCCAAAAATCTTTGTACTAGAAAATGGTAGCGACTCGCGAAATTGACACTGTCCCGTTTTCTGTCTTGGGTCCTCTGGTAGGTTAGGATAAGGACACTTTAGTACTTATTATTAACATCTTTATTGACAAATTAATTACAATTTTGCAAGATCTGAGTAATTCAATTAAACATCACTTTAGTACGACAGTTTCTCGCCGCTGGGAAACCTTCGGCGGACGGGCTGAGCCACCAAGCGTGCTCCAGTATTATGAACAAATCTTCAGAGGCCGTGACGAAGATTCGAACCTACGTCCGGGAGCATCCCAGACGCTGCCTTAATCGACTGAGCTACGATACGGTCAAAATTCATTTGATTCATCACGCTATTGTGATTTCTGTGTGTCCAGTAGTATGTTCAGTCTGATGCTTAAGTATTGCCGTAGCAATGTAGGTCTAAATATTAAATAGTCTGATGCTATTGCCGTAAGACGCTCACGTGAGCGTCCGGAGCTGTCTCACAATCAGCTGTATCTGTGTCCCCTTTTGTGTCTGGCTCGTCTTCCTGCATTCCTCTGTCGAGACGCTGATCGCTTATTGCAATGGTTCTTGGCCTCTTACGTCCTTACCATCTTGAGGTTATCTTGAGATGATTTCGGGACTTTTAGTGTCCCCGCGGCCCGGTCCTCGACCAGGCCTCCACCCCCAGGAAGCAGCCCGTGACAGCTGACTAACACCCAGGTACCTATTTTACTGCTAGGTAACAGGGGCATAGGGTGAAAGAAACTCTGCCCATTGTTTCTCGCCGGCGCCTGGGATTATACCCATGACCAAAGGATCATAAGTCCAGCGTGCTGTTCGCTCGGCCGCCCGGCTCCCATACCTGCTCTCCAAACAGTATTTTTTTTTATTAATACATGAGGTACATCTGCATTAGTGCAGCTGCCCTAGACTATATGAAGACTATATGAAGTACAGTGTGTCAAAAAAGCTAACTAGGTGATGTTAAAAAATCCCCATCACACAGGATGGTTAGTCATGCAGAGACATGTGATAGGCAGTCTGCACTGGCAAACTCCGGATGCATTTTGAAGATATCATCAGCCCAAGAGTGAATAAGGCAGCAGTGGTAATAAAAGTCCCAAACGAAACTAAAAATTGTGCTAGCATCAACTACCTCTCATTTATATCATTTTACTTGCTCACTATTTTTGCACTAATCAAGTGCTTTCTTACATTGCTTTGACGAATCTGAGTTTCTAGTTTCAATGCATTTATCCTCATACTGCCTCTGATTATGCTAAATATTTGCTTCTGTTCACTCTGTGTTTCAGAGAACTTTTAATGTAGTGATTATGTTGCATTTTTACCCTGTGTGTTTTCATGCATGAAGGGATCTAGTTTCTCCAGATTTTCCTCATAGCTCAGTCTTCTAATTCGGGGACCAGTTCTTATAGCATTCCTTTGGACATGTGCTAGTTTTTTTCTGCGTGTTCATTTAGGTTTCGTTTAACTCACCAATGTTACTTGTATTAGTGTCGGTCATACATAGTGTAGAATGTGCTGATAGTCTCCATATCCAGTTTTGTGATGTCTACATAGATGTCGAAAGCTATGTACACACAGGTATTAGTAACCTATTAATGTGTGCCTCCGGTGATAGGTCTGAGCTTATATGGAAAGGGGAGCCGGTCGGCCGAGCGGACAGCACGCGGGACTTGCGATCCTGTGGTCCTGGGTTCGATCCCAGGCGCCGGCGAGAAACAATGGGCAGAGTTTCTTTCACCCTATGCCCCTGTTACCTAGCAGTAAAATAGGTACCTGGGTGTTAGTCAGCTGTCACGGGCTGCTTCCTGGGGGTGGAGGCCTGGTCGAGGACCGGGCCGCGGGGACACTAAAAGCCCCGAAATCATCTCAAGATAACCTCAAGATTATATCCAGTTTATAAAAATGATAAATGCCGGGCATTTATCATTTTTTATTCAAGCTTTTGCTTCTCATCATTTTGTATTGCTCTTGTAGCCTTCTCATCCCAGCCCAAAAACACTTCACCTTGCATTTGCTAAGCTTAACCCATATAATCGCTATCTACAATGTGCTGCTTTTCAATTACTGCAAATTCGCATATTATATACAGCATGTGTGCATCCAGACATAGAAGATAAACAGCGTGTGCTGTTAAGATTGATGTCTCATTCGTGCTCCTCCTGGCCTCGAGTCATTTTTTCCTCCTCCATGTACATACTTGACGGCCCAGAGATCGTCTCGGTTCAAAATGGAAGTGTGCAAGTAACACGGTTAAGAAGAAATTTCCGTTTTAAGGAATTATGGAAGGGGTAGCCTACTTACTATTATTTCAATAATTCGGTCATTGCGTCGTCACACGAACGGAGTTTCCCGCGCCAGAGGAGCCAGGTCGAGGACGCCGAGAACCCCGGATGTGAAGGAAGGATATGATTGGCAGCAACTTGAAAGCATGACCAATCAACAGGTGACCTGATGTCATGTGACCGAGAAAGGAAGGGAGGCGTCTCATTGGTGTGGAATGCGTCACTATCCACCGTCAGTCACTGTGACAAGACGTACCACGGTTTGCTCCCGA